TATGTCTTTTGAATGTTCCGAATGAAAAAATATTATATTTTTGAAGCTAATGCTTAGTTCAGCTATAATTTGTATTACATTTTAGGGCACTCCCGGAGTTAATGGTATCAGCGGTTTAGCCGGCCCTCCAGGTTTGTGTATCACTCAATTTTTTTAGATTTATATTATAACATTTTTATTCATAATTGTAGGCCCGTCTGGACCACCAGGTCCCCCAGGTATCGGCTTACAGCGAACTGGTTTTATGGTTGTACGACATTCTCAATCGTCACAAGTCCCCGAATGTCCATCTGGCATGCAAAAACTGTGGGATGGTTATAGTTTACTCATGATGCAAGGAAATGATCATGGTTATCATCAAGATCTTGGTATGTTTAACTCTCGTTTGTGACTATACAGATGACTGATAATCAGCCTGTTTCTTGTGATGTTTTTCTAGGCTCAGCTGGATCATGTCTACAAAAATTTTCCGCATTACCCTATTTACGTTGTGATCATACAAATGTGTGTTATTATGGTCAAACAAATGATTTAACATATTATTTATCAACAACAGAACCAATGCCAATGATGCCAGTTCAACGTGATCAGATTCGTCCATTTATTAGCCGTTGTGCTGTTTGTGAGGCACCAGCAAGTGTTATGTCATTCCACAGTTTATCAATGACTCCACCAGCATGTCCAAATGGATGGAACATACTATGGCAAGGCTATAGTTTTGTGATGGTAAATGAATAATCTCTTTGTTTTAATTAAATCTAATGATATTGTCTCCTTTTAGCATTTGGGACGTGGTAGTCAAGGTGGTGGTCAATCATTAGCTAGTCCCGGAAGTTGTTTAGAAGATTTTCGTGCTACACCATTTATTGAATGTTCTGGTACAGATGGTAATTGTATGTACTATGCAAATAAATTTAGTTATTGGATGACAACAATTGATCAAAATAATATGTTTGAAGTACCGAGACAAGAAACATTAAAATCGGGTAATCATCGTCAAAAAATAAGTAGATGTACAGTTTGTTTAAAAACACAGCATAATGGCGGTGGCGGTGCAGGCTATTATATTCAACCACTAAAGAAACATTAAACTAAAATGAATTCTATCATACACATTTATATATTTCCGCTAGTCAGGAAATGTATTTATATATTATCAATGTGATGTATCTCCCTTGTTATACACTGTAGTCCATCGATTATAAAGAAAAAAAAAGTAGAATAATGAATAATCAGTAATCTCGAAAAACAACGAACGAACTTGTCCGATAAATCGTTGTACTAACATTTTTTTGAGTTATTATAGTACTAGTTGAATAAATACAATACGGTAATTTGATTGCCTTTCGACTGACTTGTTGTGTCCGGTTTTTATTTCGTTAAATGTATTAATTTTATTTTCTGTTTGTTGCTTAAAATGTCTCTTCTTCTTTCTTTTTTTTTTTTTTCAATTCTGTTTGATATTTCAAGAAATGAACGCGACAGATCAATTTGGATTTTAATATATTTTTTTTTGTGTTTTAATCTTTTTTCTTGCATTTTCTTTTTAATTAAAGAGAGAGGAGAAGAAAACAAAATCAAGTCAAAATTGTGGATCCTCTTTGTGCACGTTTCCCTGTTCCCTGCCGTCAAAAAAAAAACACAGTTCAAACAGAAGCTAGATATTTCTATTTTTTTTTTTCGTGCTTTAAGGATTCAGCTTGTTTTCATTTAATCACCTATTATAATTGCACACATAACACAAAGAACAGTGAATGAAAATAGATAGAATATATCAGTTTTGTTCGTTTTGTAAGTATGTGTAAAGTCATTTATTATTGTTGTTATCTTCTCTAGAAAATTTCACTTGCTTTAAAATTTGAATTATTCTATTTTAATAGCGTTAGTTATATAACAAATGTATTTTTTGTGTTTTCTTTGTTCATTTGTTCTTTTATAATACAAATATAATATAACAGAAAGAAATATGGCTGCATTATGTGATTATCAAATCTGTTTCACTTTTATCGTACAAAAAATCAAATATCCCACACATTAATTAAATCATTGTGAATTTTTTGATTTTTTCGACCAATATGATCGATCTCTAAAATAAATAACTTTATTAATTGAAAAAAACATCTTACTTATTCAAATATCTCGTAAAATTATTTTAATGTCACATTTAATGGTTTCATTCTTGTCATAATTGTTGAATTTTAAATAGAACAATTGGTAGAGTACTACTTAAACAGATTTCCTACTATATGTATTGTCACGTTATTTTCACCGCTCTCTTTCATAAAGGAGATATCGAATGTTTGATATAAATATACAAAATTACTGTTACCCAACAATTCATGTCTTCATTTTCATGTGCAGATGCTTTAGAACATAAATTCTACAGAGAATATTTTATTTTGGGATATTATTTCAAAAGCATCCTTTCCACTTTTCTTGTTGATTTTTGAAGTATTGTGACATAGACAGAGTAAAATGTAAAACGACATGCTACAAAATCTATAATGTATGTGTGATCTTCTCGGAATTCTGATTAATACAAATATTGAAACTCATTAGTAATTTCTAAATTATTTTAGAATCCTTAGTATGACTACAAAGATTAAAAAGTTTCCATAGACATTACGTTTCTGAAATTTTTCTAAAGACTCAGAAATTCTTCAAGAATTGCAAATGGAATTTGACGAATGGTTTCAATACCAACTATGATCGAATTTTTTTCTCACAATTATACTTCAGACTTTCAGATTATAAAATCTATACCACGGAATGGTGGCTGGCGACTCACTCTTATCTGGTTGCTCGTTCAAGTGCGTTTATTATTCTTTAGAATGTACGCTGCTAAATACCAAAACTTACAAAAAGAACAACAATTCGAGTTATTTGACTGTTATAAATAAAAATTAAAATAATGAAAATTTGTTCCACTAGGGCTGCGAAACGGAATCCATAACTGTTTTGTGCAGTCTTTCACCTAATTCCTAAAAAAAATATCTCCAACTACATAGGTCAACTCCTCAACTAAATAAAAGTTCTATTTCAGTTGATTTTTTAGATATAAGTAATCTGTTTTGAATGAACTATATCATCAAATCCTGGTAGCCAATGATATTTGTTTATCTACAGGGTATTATTATTCCAATATATAAATTAGAAATACCAATTTATTGTAACACAAACAGAGCTTCAAACCATTTAGAAATGTTGATAACCTTTGCCTATAATTATTAATCTGCTTATCTTTCCTTGCAAAACAGAACAACGATTACATAATATATATATATATTTATATATAAGACATCTGTTTTTTTTCGGATAATCTTCTCTTATCATACATATAATATTTGTACATCTGATTTATATTTTTTGGATAATTCTACTTTCCAAAATCTTTGATAGATTAATAATGATTTATAATCAAATCTAAGTGTCATTTTCCCACTTTCGTTTTCTGTTCACGAGAAGAACTGTTTAACATGCATAAGAAAATTTAACAGTCCTATTACTCATTGTCCTTGACACACACTTCTTCCATATTAATTGTCAAATGAAGATTAGTTGCAATATGAGTTGAATGTACATCTAGTTTGACGATTCATTGTACACTATCGTTGATTGACAACAATTATTTAAAAGGTCGACAACAAAAAATATCAAACATTTGAACATAATAGTTTTTTCTATCTCTTATTCATAAAGTCTCTAAATTAGATCTAGTGCTACTATACTCATAGTTTATCAAAAATCAGACGAATACATGAAAAATTCAACAATTCAAATCCACAAATTCATATGTACCGTATAGAACATCTGCCAAGTTGAATTCGAGACCTATCTCTACTTTATACTTCAATAAATTTAGCTGGCTTCGTACTGAGCTTTTTCTAAAAAAGAGGAATTAAAGAGGAATCACAAAATCCTGAAAGGAGGAACGTCATCAAAAAAGGAGGATGTAAAGTCCTAAGTTAAAAATACTAATTGTACAAATGAAATTGAAAATGAAAGCAAACAGATTTACAAGTTAAAAAAATTATTGATGACACGACAGATGATGGTAGGCAGATAGATAACTGAGATCTAGAAAAGGGGAAAATGCACATACTAAATAGAGAACTACTGATGACTCGCCATGCAATGATGAGAAATTTCTATTGACCACAAAAATACTTATAGTGCAATAAGGATCGAGGTCACATTGTAACTATCACTAGAAGAACAGACGGTACTATATTCGTGGCAAATATAAGAAGCAACGCATGATAACTAAGGTGTTAAGAAGGCTCTTTGATTAAACGCTATTGGAAAACTAGTCGACTTTGTCCAAAGAGGAGGAAAAGGAGGTAAAAGGAGAAAATTTTATCTAGGAAGAATGAGGAGAAAAGGAGGGCGAATACGATGCCAGATTTAGAGAAAGGAAAACTCATCAATAAAATTAGCACGGATTAAAATAGAATCTGAACGAATCTAAAAAATAAATAGTTACTATTCAGGCCGATAGCCGTTTCTGTCTCCAGTATGCGCTGTTTGTCGTAATGCTTAAGTAATTGCCTCACCTAAGGTTGAGAGCTACTGAATTTAAGTTATTGAATGATTTAAAATTAGCAGAACAGAATCAGTCTAATTGTAAATAAAAATGCAAGTTTCGTTGAATACTAAAATCAGGTAAAATTCGAATTGACTGCTTACTTGTCTTTCTTATTGCTTGAAACACGTTGCATTAAATTTTTTTTTTAAATATACGTAAACTTACATTCAACTGACATTTAATAGTAGCAATATAACAATATTAGGTTAAAAAAAAGTTAACAGATAATATGTCGAAAGAAATTTTTATATAAAGCATGACGAGATTATCATGAAAAACCGGTAAAAACATCATATCTCACAAAATTTTAGCATTTATCATACTCTTTTGTCTGGAATGATTTACAACTTGCTAGGTAATATAAAATATTAAAAATTCAGTTTGTTATCTAAAGATTGATTATTAATATCACGTTTCATGCAGTAGGATCTGTTCTCATTAACCGAATATCAGCAGCTATCATTTCTTTTACCAATTCCTAAAAGAAAAATGAACAATTCCTTTATAAAATAATTATTTTGCAATAATGTTCAAAGCTAAAAGTGCTGGATACAACCGGACTTTGATCTTAAAAGGGAAAAAGGGGGGATTTTGTCGAGGATCAAACTCTAATACCATATTGAAACATACTTTAAATGTGATTTTCGGTGTCCAACCAAGCTTGTCTTTCGCTTTTTTTGGATTACCAAGCAATAAATCCTACAAAGAGAGTCAATTCGATCAGCCTCTTCATTAAAAAACTTCAAACTGTTGTACTTACAACTTCAGTTGGACGATAATATTTCGGATTTACTTTAACACGAACAATATCTGTTCCTTTTTCTTTTCCTATTTCATTGACACCTTCTCCTTCCCAACTAATCAACAACAAAACAGGAATCTATCAATCTCTTGTACACTCTAGAAGATACTGCAACTTACACGATATCTTTGCCAATTTCTTGAAATGCTGCCTCAACGAATTCTCTTACACTATGGGTTTCTCCTAAAACATTCGAGGCCATTTATATTATATTTCGTGAAATAAACTAACAGTTCATGCTCTAAAGTATTTCCAATATTTCGAGAAAATGCCTCAGATCAACATGAAGTCTATGATAAAATAAGTTTTCAGTAAAAGAAACAGAGACTGACCTGTAGCAATAACGAAGTCTTCCGGTGTATCATGCTGAAGCATTAACCACATTGCCTAGAAATATGAGAAAGAGATACAAATTCGAGTAGAACATCATCTATACAACTTAACTTACCTCTACATAATCTTTCGCATGTCCCCAATCACGTTTTGAATCAAGACTACCCAATTCGACTGATACTTGTTGATCAAGATGAATTTTTGCTACAGACCGTGTAATTTTTCTTGTGACGAAATTAGAACCTAAACGAGAAATTTTAAATCAGAAACTAGTTTTTTTACAGAGAAATGGCAGGTAAATTGTGGACTGTGGCATATTTCTACTAAACAACTACAATGGACTAGAATGTTATGTTGAAAATATTTTATTTCTTATTGTTAGAAGGAATGAAAACTGCTATTTTACCTCGTCTTGGACTCTCATGGTTGAATAATATTCCATTAACTGCGTACATGTTATAAGCTTCACGATAATTTATTGTTATCCAGTATGCATATAATTTAGCGGCAGCTGCAATCGTAAACAATAGCAAGCAGTTTTCAATCTAGAACGGTTTAGTGAGAATTGATCTTACCATACGGGGAACGAGGATAAAAGGGTGTTGTTTCACTTTGTGGAATTTCTTGTACTTTTCCATATAATTCTGACGTGGACGCTTGGTAAAACCGAATTTCTTTTTCTAAACCACACGTACGTATTGCATCTAAAATTCTTAATGTACCAACAGCATCCACATCAGCTGTATATTCACTAAGATCAAATGAGATCTAGAATAGCAAAAAAAGTGAATGAGTACACACATATAAGAGAAAAACACGATTGAATTAATTCCTATATACTTTGACATGACTTTGCGCACCAAGATTGTAAATTTCTTTTGGTTTCACAGCAGAAATAATTTTCACTAGTGACGAACTATCATTCAAATCGCCGTAGTGTAGCTTCATTGCTAAAATAATGCACAAAATTAGAATTTTAATCATCCGACAACGAAGTATGAAGTTTGTCTTAACAAGACATCAGTTTATATGAGAAGACACTATTTAGCAAATATAAAGAAAAAGAGATATCTTTAGTCTGCTTTGAATTAATTTTTCCTCTAGGAACTTCTACTGTAATCAAACAAAAACTTACGTGCCTCCTTCACTGTGCAGTGATGGATTTTCATAAAGATGATTTATTCTTCCAGTATTGAAGCTACTTGAACGGCGTATGATCCCGTGCACCTTAAAATATAAATAAACGTTTGCTATCAAGCTCAGATGGAACATTCACCAGAAGCATAACGTACCTCATAGCCTTTCTCTAATAGAAATTCTGTCAAGTAACTACCATCCTATAATTGAACATGTGATATAATTATTCTCAAAACAATAGGCGTTGTTTTCATTATTTAAATAGAACTTACCTGTCCAGTTATTCCCGTGATAAGTGCGATTTTGCGATTTGTTTTGTTATTAGTTGCAACGTTTGCCATATCTGCAACTACGACGTAAATATTCACAAGAATTACATCACGTCTACGCAAAACTAATAATAATATAGACTGTTTGCTCGTCTCCTCGCCCCTTCTAACTGTCGACTAAATCTGAGTCACTAATCACAATGAAAACTACAATTGTTATTCAAAGACCAACCAAAAATACAGGCATCAGCTAGAAAAGTTGTCTTCCTAGCAGATAACCCATGTAAAGAAGAAAATAATACGAAGGTGGAAAAATGAAGAAATGCTTGATTTTTAAAAAGTAATGTTAACAGTAAAACGAAGAAGAATGTATAAACACAAAAACAGAATACATTAAAAGAATAAACAAACGGAAAAAAGCGAAATAATTGAATCTACTCTAGTTTTGGGGGAAGAGATAGTTAGATAAAACTCTTTTGGACAGGTAATAGAGATGAAAAAGCCTTGTGATAATGTACGCATGTGAATACGGAAGAATAATACAGTGCAATTGCATAGAACCCTGGAGTGTCACTAGTTTTAGTATAAGAAGCTCGTTCTTCCATCTTCAGTAAATAAGTAATCTAAGTATAAGTAAGTAAGTAAGTAAGTAAGTAAGTAAGTAAGTAAGTAAGTAGTAGTAGTCTAATAATGTTTTTGAGAGCACAGAAATGTTGACTTAGTGTAATATTCGAGTCGATAAACACTCAAATATTTCGCCTTAGGACGTTCTTTTCAAATCATGCACTCACTCAACTAACTCAAACACACAAAATTGTACTTTAATTGCTTGAATAAAGAAGATAAAATATTAAATCGCTATTTTTTTTTGTTGTTAGAAAGTACCTTAGTAGTCTTACATTAATAGCAGCTGTCAAAAATGCGCGCCGTCGAACTTAACTTTGAAAAACACGAAGAAGAGAAAAGTTTAAAGATCCGTTCCTATTCGTCCAAAAGTTGCACTTCCCATTTACTAAAAGAAATAGCGTATTATCCTAAAGATGATAGATGCCGTCTCAGCACAACTGAGATCGTTTTTCGACAGTATTTCAGTCAGTAGAGCGTAAATAACCGAACAAGAGAACATTCTTTCTTTTTTTAGGAAAGTAGTTTTGAGGACGAAGTATTCTGTATTCAAACACAGCTTCCTGAAATTTCATACTTTTAAAGAAAAATTGGTGAAAAAACACTGAAATTAACGGGAGATTGCTCAAACTATGTAATTTTTTATACTTCATTCAATGAAATCAAAGTCGCTGCAAGAAAAACTTGAGATTCGAGTGGAGCGTCGAATTTTACGTATTTCAGATGATTATGCGTTTTAAAAAGGAAAATTAATGATTAAGCGCCTGTGTCCGGCACTGATACTAGCGCTTAGTAAAAGTTTAGCTTCTTAGGTTAAACAATAGGAGCCTAAAAGATCCTACTTTAGGAGCCTGTAAGATCTTACGAAAAGCTTGTAGGATTTTGTAGGAAACCTCAAAGCTAAAATATCCTACAAAATCCTCCTATAATAGAAACCACTGAAACAAATGTCCAGTATATCTTGCTTAAATATAGTTTAAAAAATATCGAGTATATAGTGAATCAATTAAACAGCAGTCTACAGTGATGCGATGGAATTCGGTATTTTTTCGAGAAATGGCAGTTAGCAGTCTATTTTTATGGTCGTTGGTCAAGAGTTTCCGATTGTTCTCAGGGATGGGAAGGGCTAAACATTTTTCTTCGCAAAAAGTGGCTGATGGAAAAAGTTTTCTAAATTTTTGGCAGATAGTTGCTTGTGGAATAACGTCAAAGATTTTGGCAGAAAGCCCAAAAATGTTTTTAGGGAGGGACCAGCCCCCCCCCCCCTAATCGGGAGATGGGCGTTAGTCATCAACCTTAAGTAGCGCTGATACACATATATAAGCGTAGTTGCTTGAAACATTTTCATTTTGCTAAGATGTCAAAAATACCGTTTTTTTTCGTTTGTAGGGTCAACGAATTCGCAGACTCTAACACCTTGTTATTTTTAAACTTTTACAGTATGACCGTAGAGAGTACTGTCAACTATTTTTCACTATCTTTCAACATTTCTCTACTCTTTCTACAGATACACGACGAATTGTGATAGAAAAGGTTTAAAAAATTCTACTCAAACAAAATTCAAGTTTAATAGCTTCCTTTAGCTGGTTTACTTATTTTAGTTAGTTGAAAATACGACTGTTCATTTTTTGTTTTTGTCTTTTAGTTGATGAAGAACTAAAAGCAATGATAGATGATTTAAAATTAAACTGTACAAACAAATCAACAGATCATTTGTATTATACTCTTTTTAGAATTCGATATCATAAAACAAAGTTAGAAGATTTAAAAAATGCACGATCATACGAAGATGTTGTCAATATTATACGTGAAGTCTCCAGGTGATTCAACACGGCCCGTAAACGGTCGTAAAATCATTTTACGACACCGTAATCCTATGCTCCGTAATACTGCCGCCGCAAACGATCGTATACGGGTCCATTAAGGCCGTAAACAGTCTCGTAAAAGGTTGTTTATGGCTGCAGTGTTACGGAGCATAGGATTACGACCAAATTACGTCAAGTTACGACATGTTACGTTACAGTACACAGTCGTAATTTACCGTTTATGGCCGTTGTAACTAATGACCAGGGTAGCCGAAGATATAACAACCAGACGAAAATAAGATTGTTAGTGGACACTATCGCTGCTGTTGTTGTTATTTAGTTATTGGTTTTGTTATTAGTTGCTTGTTTTTTTTTGTTCAAAAAAGTCCTCTTTCACACATACTCACGAGTCTCACACGATTTAACAGTTCATATTTATCATCTGATTGTTTTAGACATTTTTGAATTTGTTTTCGTATTAAATATTCCCATTCATCTTCCTTCTTTTTATCATCATAAATATATGCACCACTACGAGTAGTGGTATCGATACGATCGTATCAATTTCTTGAAAACCGACGGCAATAATATCAGGCATCTGTGATGGATCATCACGTTCTATTTGAAAGATAAAGCCCGGAAATTGTATTTTAGGCGTTCTTTTCAAAAATGAGCTATCTTCAAAACTTTCTAATTTTCTCCCACAAAACAGTTTCGCTGAAAAACACATTTTAAAAATGTGTTAAAAATAATAAAAATTTAAAATAAAAAAAAATAATATAAAAATTTTTGTTCAATCTTGAGCAGATCTGTTCTCAAAAGCTGATTAAGATTTGATCAAGTGCAAAATCTGAAAACTTCTGTTGGATATCTTGACCATCTATAATTTTCGAAGGCTCTTGACAGCAACCCAGAAATCTGCTCAAGATATTAACTCGCAAGATTGGATCAAGGTCTTCGCTCAAAATTAACGTCCTAGAAAACGGCTGTATCACTGTAAGGTTGGAAATTATTTATGGAAAATGCTCGACGAATTTCAGAGAGTACCTATGGGAATTTCCCTGAGGAATTTTCAATTTATAGAAAATCGAATTTCCAACAAGCTAGAAAATTCTCGTTGAATTTCCATAAATAATTTCCAAGAAAGTAGAAATTCCTTTTTTGATTTTCTATAAACCAGAAATTTCTTGGCGAGTCTGCGCTGAGTGGCGGCGCGATGAGGTTATATGGAGGTTGACCCCGCTCATGCTCTTGAGAAATTTTGGAGAAATTTTCGGAACTTCCTACCAAAACTTTGCGCCACCACTATCTCTGCCTACATCAAAACTCTTGTTGGCATAGGCAGAATTGTGATCTAAAGTAGAAACTGTCAAAGTTGAAGTTTAATATGAGTGTCTTTACGTGACGCTCTTATACCTACACTGATTGCAAAACAAAAAGATGAATAAGTATTTGGTCTAGAAATTCCAGCGCAAATTTCCACTTTCTAGAAAATCACCGAGGATCTTCTAGTTTATAGAAAATCAAAATCGAATTTCCAGATTCTTGAAAATTATTTATAGAAAATCCTCAGCGATTCTCCACCTTTATAGAAAATCGAATTTATGGAAAATCAAGTCGATTTTCTATAAAGTAGAAAATCAACATTTCCTAGAAAGCTGAAAATTCGTCGAGGAATTTCTATAAACTAGAAAATCTCCGGTGATTTTTCGATCGATTTTCTATAAACTGGAAATTAATTCAAGATTACAGTGTAGTCATTTTATTCTAGCATTATTCTTTCAGAATACAAGCAGAAAAAATACATCGCGATATTACCTTTTCGTAAGTAGCAATCATACATGTAAATGAGATAGATCAGGAATCGATGAAAAATCGTTGATGGATACACTCCAAATACAAGCACTTTCATACAAATTGCCAACAGTATTGTTAATATGGCTGCTAAGAGTTCAAGAAAACACCACTTGTCTTCTTCATTATTCGACCTTTCTTATCCTAGATAATTCTAAACTCAATTGACCGTATATAATGAGTTTTTATTCGTTATATAACGTTTGCGTCATATTTTCACACGACTTTGCGTAAAAGTTTAACAGTATTATATAAACGACAGAAAAAATGGACTAAATAAAAGACTTTCGCGAAAGTTAATATTTTTTGTGACAGATAAATTAATATGCTGAAAATGTCATTTAATAACATTCAAACTTGACGGCACTAAGAACAAAGCGAAATAAGTCTTCGACGGTGAATACATAAACTGCATTGTAGCACTTTACTTTGCTTCCAAAAAGTAGTCTTTCAGTGAAGTCTTAGATGTCTTAGAGCCTGTAAGAATTTTAGATCTCGATTATCTTTTTAATCATGATTAGTGGGGAGTTACACACATTCTTTTTAATCACGACAAAATATAGTTAATAGTGATTTAAAAAAGTTGCGGTTACACTGGGAAATTCTTAATCGTAATTATTTGCATAGTGTAAGCCCAGTGTACGATCATAATTTATTTCAAGCAACTCAGACCTTCTTTAATTCTGCTTCGCTAATTAATAAAGCTTCAGCTTTCTCATTACCACCGATAGATAAACTTGAATGTGTTATTTGTTTATCAGTTATAAACGACGATAATTTGGAATGTCAGCACTGTACACAAGTATTTTGTGGAGCATGTATTAAATGTCTTTATAAGGATGCAGATGGTGACCAGTATTGTCCAGTATGTAACGAACAAGTTAAACTAACAGCATATTGTAATCTAACTATTATCAGAAAATTTGAAAAAGAAGAAACGTCGCGTTTAAATATTTAATTTGTAATTCAATCCTACAAGAACGTAGGCTATGTCCTGATCCAGAATGTAGCTTTGTTCTGTTATAATTGTATAAAAGCAATACAAAGGAAAATGGGTCATCACTATTACTATCATCTACTGCTACTACAGTTTCCATTCCCAAGAAAACTAAATGTTATCATTGTAAGAAGACTGATATAGTATACTATTGAATATCAAATAGTACAAAAATCAGAGGAGAGATGATTTGTCAAGAATAACAGAGTATCGATTAGCGGGGATTTCTTTTAGGATCTGAATCACCCTCACTTTCAAGTGAAGCACTTCAAAGTGAATACACCCTAAAAAGTACTGATGAATTGATGTGTATTAGGGAGCTTTCTCAAAAATACTTCATAGATCATGTAATAAAACCGAAATTGAATTCAAGTTTGATGAGCCATCATCCAAACCTTTCATTGCTTATATGTGAGTCAGCATGAACAATCATTGTCTATACGACGTTCAATGCTTTATTTTCAACAATCACGAGCTTTCCAAAATCCAGATAATAGAGATTCGCTGTCTGATTAATCACGCTATTATTGCTACCACTGATAACCATTTATATCTGTGGAATCTGAATGATTAAGAAGCGATCGCACAATTAGGTCACTCTGATTCATTTTCTGTCAGTAAAAACCGACTTGTGAAGTATAATTTGATATCTGCCGGGTATTTTTATACAATTGAACACTGCTGCGATTTGATATTTTGAGTGATTTGATCTTCTGGTTTCATGATCACGGCTATGCACCAAAAATAAACCGTTGGACATCGAATAGACAATGATTATTCATGCTGAGTTTGTGAATGTAATATCAACCCGATTACAGCATTTAATGAATCAGTCGACTTATCTACAAAAAACTTTCGTAAATGCTGGAAAAGTGCACTAGTAATGCCTATATATAAAATAATTATGTTGAAAACTATAGGCCTATTTCCCTTTTATGTAATGAGAGCAAAGTTCATCTTTAGGTATGCACTAGTCACACTTTTTAGGTAGGTAACCGTAGTTGTCGCGCTTTTAGAGATAAAAAAATCAATGCCATCTTGAAAACAGAAATCAGAAACATAAAAGCTTTACTAGAATAATTTGTTTTACCATCAATAAAAAGAATGTGCTTTCCTTCCTCAGTCAGCTGTACATTGTAAAAAAAATATGTAGCTGGAAAAAACGGCTTCGATTTTCCACGCTTTCTTTCTGGAACGGTTTCAAAATGCTACACTGAGAAATACTTTCAAAAAGTGTTCTTTTCCGGAACCTTTTTAGTGTTTCAGCTCGCTTCCAACCTGAGGACGTCCGTGAGACTTTGAGGATTCTGAGGACTTTCGCTCGACTCAAAAGTTCCACAGGAGTCCTGAGAAATCCCTTGAAAGTCCCACCTGACTCCTGCAGAATCCCGCAGGCCGCCGTGACAGGAGTTCCGTGGGAATTTTGCTGGGAGTCTCGACTAGGGATCACATTGAAGCTTTTGAAGATCTGAAAAACAATACTATTTCTAAAAAAGTTTTCTTCGAAGTTTCTATGAATTAATAAGAATAAGAATAAAACACGTTTCAAAGAGTTTTATCCTACTGTAGAAAAACAGATTCACTACGAATTTTTCTGCGTTTTTTATTCGTAAAAAAATGCGTTTTCTCTTATTTTGAAATACAGAAATGGATAGGAAAAAACTCGTTTTTTTATTCCTGCCATTATTCTACCTGTTGAACCAGAACCCATTTTGTGTGCTCTTCATATTGATCGGCGAAGGAACGCAAAGCACCGCATTCTTTTGTGCAGAAGCGTGCTTGTTTAAGTTTGAATGTTTGGACGCTTCCAGTGGTCCATAAAAGCTTCAATGTGATCATAACGCTTTTGTTCACTTAAACACTTTACCGAATGTTCCAAAAACCATAAACTGTCAGTTCACTTGTGTTATGACGTTTTGTTGAGTGAGAAAAATGCGACCTCTGCAGTGCAAAATAGCAATTAAATCGATGATTATAAATATTGTATATATATTGTATTGGCTTTCATTGGACAAATTACGGACGTAAGAATAAATAGGAAATAAATGGGAAAAATTATTTCCTTCCCAGAGAAAATAAAAAATTCGTTTCATAGGTTATTTCCCTTCCAGTTTCAACATGACCGATCAGTACAAGCTCGCAGAACTATTTTTCTCATACAATAGTCGAAGTCGAGTAATTATAGAATAGGATCAGTGTTGTTAATATCATGATAGACGTGGGACTCGTCACGGTCCTAGTCCACTTTCTGTGATGAAGTCCGCGGTGAATTCTCGAAATAACGTGAAATCCCTAGGGAATTGTCAAGGATTTCCTGAAAATCAGGGCGTGGGGAGAAATAATGAAGTCGTAGATGATTCACGGGTGACTCTCCGGGGATTTCTTGGGAAGAATGTGCACCGTTTTGTTTTGCGTCTGCAGAAGTATATAAAATATAAAAATTTAAACAGGAACATTTCTTTTCTTTAGATTAATTTTCTTTTTTAGATAAGTGTAGTTGCTTTCGCCTGAGACTCGTCGTTTCGCCGTGAATTAACTTTTCAGCCAAGTGACCTGTTCACTGGGTGGCTCAGATGAGAAAGAGTTTCGAAAGAAAGTGGTAATTTTTCTCATATAAAATAATTTTCAATTTGATCGATGAAAAAAAGCTAAATTACGCTTAAAATCGAGTACAGGAATCGAATTCAGTATTTATTAGTTTTTAGGAACTTCCTGAGAATCCGTTAGATGATTCAGGGGCTCCCTGCGGATTTTTCCAGGGAAAGTGGTCTAGGGGATCGATGGAAAACTGAGAATCCGTTTCTCAAATATTTCTATCATGTTTTTAACTGTAAATCAGATTGTGAAGTGAATTTTGATTGAATTGCAAATTCTAATTGTAAAATCTCCACGGGGTTCATTCATAGTGAAGTACCCGCCATGGCAAATATTTCTGTTACAAACACTGGATGTTCCCTGGTATCACAAGATTAGGAATCTATTTTCAGAATATTTCCCAGATCAAGATATTATCCGTCAATAATAGTGAAAATTCTTTGCTTTATCTGAGTTTTTAACAATTTGCATCCCTCTCCCATGAACTTTGATAAATATTAATGAACTTCATTGAATTTTATACATTTCGCGTGGACATTTTTAGAGAAGACAGGAAGTGATCTGTTTAGCCAATTTTCTTTTTTTTAGCATTGACATGATTTCTAGAAACCTCCCACAGGATAAGCGTTTTGTTCATTTCACCATAATAAGGTGTAGTAAAACGATTTGAAATGTTTTTGTGAAAGAAAAACAGAAGAAAACATATATTTCTCTCTACAGGATTCTAAAACTAAAAAATTATTTCTGTTTGTATTTCTGACCACAACTAGAAGTCTTTTAATATCCACCTTTGTCTGTCACTATCCAAAGAAGAAAAAAAATTTTCTTCGTGTTCATATTTATTCATTTGAATGTCCTTTCTGTAGATTTTTGGTACACTTCTATAATTATATAAAAATAATTTTCATTTTGTTTATCTAAGAATGTCGACAGATCTAGAATTTCATTTGAAATTCCAAAAAAAGCAGCAGCCAAAGTGACATCGCAAGGTTATGCTGTTCAAATGGAGAAAGCAATAAAAACACCTGCAAAATCGGGTGATATCGAAGCTGCAAAGATTTTTGCTGAAAACACTATCCGCCACTGAAATACACAAAATCGATGCAACAATAATAAAAGTATGTATCTTTAAGCATACTTCCATTTTTGATCATATAAATGAGAGATGTCAATAATGCTGTTGATTTTTAAAGATTAAACAGGCTCAATCGATGCAACTCGTATCGAAAGATTTGGTTCGAGTCACAAAACAAGTATAAAGGATCCGGAGTCGATTAATGTGGAAAAAATTGTTGAAATAATAAATGAATTTGAAAAAGTAAATATAGATTGTATATACATATCGTGCTTTAAAAATTAAACATATTCTCTTTTGTTAAGATATTTGAAGATTTAGATGTGACAACAATAGTTATGGATCATACCATGACACAAAAACAACAGTCACCATGACATCTTCAACAGAGATAGACCCTCTAATTCGTCAGATGGCACAAGAAAATAACCTTGAAATCGTTGATAAATTGAATGAATTACCATCAACTCAGGAACGTGTAATTACAATAGCAATCGAATCAGATCCGTTGTCTAAATGTTTGGGTGAACTACGAAATGTATTATACGAACTTGTTCTAGACGTTACATATGTTGAGATTGTTTTCTTGTTGATTAATTATGTTATGTACCATGTCTGAATAGAAACTTCCGAAAAAAGCGCTTTTATAATTGTATATATCGTATTTTTTTACGACTTCTTTTCAGTTTTTCGTTTTCTTGCGGTGTCAAAATATATACTAAGAAATCATCATATATTCGTTTCATTATGAGCCCAGCGTGAGAAGATAGTGTATTTGTTCGAGAGTTTATTTTCAGAGCTTTTTTTGTTTTTTTTTTGCACAACTTGGAGTCGTACGCTGATCTAACGCGTTTGATTACATTAAACTCCATTATTCTGTCTTAAAAACAATTTTAAAGAGTTTATAATTTTTGTCTAATGAGAAAATCTCCGATCTTTTCTCTTATTGTTTCAGTAGAACGTAGTTGTTGATACTGAGTACGACATAAAATCAGTATATGATAAAATTTTCCAGTACTAAGGATTAAGTTTTCACTGAGATTTAGGAATTTTTTTTCTGAGGTCAATGAGGATTATGACTTAGCTACTTTTCGATGAATAAAAAACTTGTATATTTCAGAGAAAACTCGTTCAGTAGTTTATAGATCTAAAAAATATAATTCGATCTCGATTACAACTGTGCAATGTGAGTTTTGAAATATGTCTCTAGCTCCACTTTGCATAGATCAGATTCTATTAGACAATTGAATCGTAACAGATATCAAATTTGTGCTCAAAGTAGACATAAAAAGTATTTTCTAATTGAGACTGTCCCACGTAACACAACTTACCGGTGACAAACACATTTTTATTTGCTCAATATAGCAAGGTACATGGGTAAAATAAGTATAAGTAATATGAGAAATTGAGAAATAATAAAAAGAGAACAATTATAAAAAATGAGTACAAAAGTTTAGTGAATGAACTTTGTCTACGTTAATATGTATTCAAAAAATACCGATTGTCTCCAAAATCCATCATCGTAGCAAAGAAACTCATTTAGATGAACAAATTAAGTTTATATAGAAAATCAGCCATTTCTTAATTCCTGTGTGTGTAAATTGCTAACGTTGTAAATTCTTCTTTATACCTCTATTTTTTTTTCTTCTTTTCTGTTGTTGATGACACACTGAATGAATTGAATAACACATGTGTTTTAATTTTACATGGCTTTTTCCATACTTTATGGAACAAAGTCACTACGATCAATCAATACAGGAAATTCTCAATTAATTTCAGATAGATTTGATAATCGACAAATTTTTTTCCAAGGGAAACGAAATTATATCTCCTCCTCTCCGACAAGATTCTATCGGACGAACGCGCGTTGAGAAATGTTACATAAAAAATTTATGAAATAAATTGTACTAACGTCCATAAAATTTTATCATGTAAAGGACAACAAGAAAAAGATAAAAGTTGTACATTCTCATGAATAGAAAATAAAGTTAACGCAGTGGATCATTAATGTAAAATAAGTGAGAGAATAATTTTAAACAGTAGATATGATTAATCTAAGTATTATGAGGCAATACAAGAATTCATCTCGGTATATGATACTTTCGGGCTAATTTGAGTAGTTTGGACGTTTTGTAATACAGAGTATCTGATTGATTTTCTTTTTTACAAATTATTTGTATGTACAAAATGTGCACTCTTCATGAAGACGTTTTATATTTTCTAGATAAATGGAAAGAAATTTATTTCTCAATAACTATGATATTCTGCCGGTGAAACAAATATTAAGCAAAAATATACGCACTGGTTATGTAAGTCGACCATTATCTTTTTCTGCTACTTTTTTGCAATAATCACGTTTATTCGTTTAGGAGAAAGAAAATATTCATACTTTATATCAAACAGTCCTACCTTTATCGACACTTTTAAACAACATCTCAGTTAGTGAAGCAGCAAATCTTCCATTACATACATATTTTATTAACAAATTAAGTGAAAAAGTAAAGAACACTTATGTGACAATTGTTCTGTTGATGATAATTAATTTTTTGTTTTTGTTTAAGGAACCGTTGTTAAATTTACTACCTGAAGTAGGATATATGTCAACGAACGGTGGCCCATATGAATATCATGCTCCAGTTAACGCCTCGCAAGAGAATAAACGTAAAATATTGATCGACGAGATACAACAATTTTGTGAAGATTTAAAAAATTTGAAGGATAGAAAAAATCCAAAATTAGAACGTTCATTACAGGTAAGAAAACAGAAATCAATCATTACATTGTTTGTCATTTGGTTATGTTTATTGTTGTAATAGCAAATAATCAACGATGTCACATCGAATGATCAACATGACTGTGAGAATTAGTCTCTTTTTCCTAGTAAAAACCATAGAAAAAGTATTGTTTATTCTTTTTTCTAGTTGAAAGGACATCATCGCCATTGCAGAAGTATGTCATGTGTTTTTGTAATAGTTATTTTTTTTAGTTACACAAAAGTATCATTTTTGAGATAATTTTCAGATTTAAAGTCACAGACTACTTGTTGTCATCTATTTGTTCTATAAAAATCTAATATTTATTCTTTTTCAGAAGTTCATCTTTTCGTTCATCGCCAGTGCCTGTATGTTTCTGATTTTCTCTCGATTCTCTTGAATGATTATTTTATTTACTTTTTCCTAGTTATCTACTGAAACTCCCCGAAAGTTACCGAATAGTAAAACAGTTACTGATGGTAATCAACGAACAATCGAGAAAATTAAACATATCAAGGTTTGACCAATTTTGTCATCTTGGAAGCAGATAAAGATTTTGCTTTTCTTTTTGTTTATTTTAGGAACAAATTGAGCCCAAATATGATAGACCCTGTGAGCGACGGTTTGTTAGAAGAAAATTATTATTAAATCTTGTCCAAGAAAAAAATCCAGAGATAAATATAGAAGCTAATTATTTGGAAACTTCGATGGATGAAACGATAAGAACATTGAAAGAATCGGATAAACGATCAACTCATCATGACAATGATGAAATATATATTGAATGTTTATTACGTGCTAATTTTGAAACCTCATCAGCAAAAGAAATGTTGCTGAACAATCGACCGAATTTGGTAAGACAAGCAAGTCATAGAAATACTTGGAATGTAATTGATAAAATTGTTCTACCGTCTAGTTTGATGAGCCTTTTTTCTTAGGCGAGATTTTTTAAGAGGAGATGAGGGTAATGCTTAGATTTGAAATGTAACGTTCTCTCTTAGAATACATTACAATATGAAGTAAAGACAGACATTACAGGATGCATTGCCAGATTAAAACAACAGTATGATAAATTAACTGAAGAGGGTAATGATACTGAACAACAACTTTTACGTGAAGGTGATGAATGGAAGAATACGTATCATATCCAAAAATCACTTGTTCAATTACGTAATCAGTATCAATTAAGAGAAGATGAATCTATTTTAGTAGGAGTAAGTATAATTGTAACTTAAAAAAAATTTGATGACAAAGATTTTATCATTTTTTTTTTTTCATTTAGAAAGTGTATCGATTATTACGTTGTGAATTAATGTCGATCGTTGATAAACAAATATCAAGACAAACTGAAAATTTAATAAAATTAGAACTTTTAGCAAATGCTTTATGTTCAATTGAATTGTCTTGTCTTGCAAATGTTGATATGGGTGATATTAAAGATATATTACGTTCGCCAATTGACCAAGATTTTGCAATAAAAGCGTTATCAACACCATGCAATATTTGTTTTGACTCATTTCCACGTAGTCAGATTGAATCACTTTTTTATCAATGTGAACATACTTGGTGTCGATCATGCGCTAAAGAATATTATCGAAAAACAGTCAATAAAATAAATGATCTAGCTTCGTTGAAACAATTGGTTTGTTTTTCCTGTAACCATAATATTCCTGATGATGAAAGAGCTCAATTTCTTACTTGGCTTGAAGGAAAGGTAGACTACTATTATTTTTTTCATTAGATGAGTTATAGAAATGAGCTTTGCAAACATCGGGAAAATTTTATTGTTTCTTTTAGTTTATTTTTTGGTTTTCAAGCGAAAGAAAAGTATTAGATACGTATCATGAAAATCTGTTTCATGCTACTCGCGGTGAAAAAATAAAACGATGTGGTTCACCAAAATGTCTTGCATTTTTTGATGTCCATAATAATCAAATTATGCGAGTTCAATGTCCTCAAACAGGTTGCAGATTTTTACAATGTGCTCAATGTTGTCGAAAATGGCACGATGAACATCTTACAAGAAATTTAACATGTGAAGAATATGGTGAATGGTTGATATGTAAGTAGTCAAAATTGTTTCGTTTAATATATTTTATATTGTGTATGTATATATAGCTAATGATCCTGATTCAGAAGAAGCACAAATGCAACGTTATCTTGCAACGGCTGGAATGTGTAAGTTCTTTTTTTAAAAGTAAAATACGCAAATTTTAATTTTTATTAAACTATATTCCAGCGTGTCCACAATGTAATGCAATTTATGAATATCGACCTGGTGGATGCGAACATTTCAAATGTAGTGCCTGTAAATCAGATTTTTGTCGTATTTGTTCAGGATTCTTTTATGATCAAAACAGAGTAAGTTTTTTTTCTTTTCTTAGTATTTATATTTTGAAAAATCATCTTTTTTTATAGCCTTGTCCATCATTAACTTGTAATCTAAAACAATCATTACATGCACATTGTCCACCAAATTGTTTTCGTGAAATTCGTGATTTTTGTGAAATTGACAAAGTAGAAGAATTTTTAAGGGTAGCTAATCAATTTATTTATTACTGTTCTAGTATAATTCTAAAAATTATTGTTTACTTAATTAGACACAAGGAATTTCATTTAAAGAAGAATTAGATGCAAAACCACAAGCAACAACTCAAAAATGTCCAGTTGATGATTGTAAAAATCCCGCATCAAATTTGTGTAATAATCGTTTTTGCGAGTATGTTATAGAATATAACAAAAATGCGATAGAGAAACGTTTTAATTTTTTAATATTTATTTTATTTCTAGAAAATGTTACCAGGAATTTTTATGTTTATTTTTATGGCGTAATCAATTAGAGCCATGGTCATTTTACGAACAACATCAGTTGAGACAGAAATTATCATTAGCCACACCGCCGGTAATTGTTCCTGAGACAACTACAAAAGAAGAATTAATTACAGTATGTTTAATGTATTATTTTATCTATTTATAAGTATAAAGATATTGATGTTTATTTTAGCTTGCTAGACAACATTTACCATTGGGTAAACCAAAAACTTTACCAAAAGTTTTACCGAAAACTGAAAATTAATTTTATGGACTTGCTTTTTATGCATAAGAAAAAAAACTCCAAATAAAACATCTTTTGTTTCTAATCGTGAAAATTGCATTCCTTGATGATTGTTGTATCCCCACTGGATATTTTTAATGTATAGAATTTTATCTTTTTCATATTTAATTGAAACGTATACCATCTTTTCTGCATCTCGCATGTTTGATTAAGAATTGGCAGTGGTAGATATTATTTTTATATTTATCTACTATATTTTCTACTTTTTGAGAATTATAAACTGGTCTTATTTTTTTCTTTTTTAATAAAAATTTGTGATATAAATTCGTTGACTTTACATTTTTTTTTTTGTATTTTTTTAAAATGAAGTCATATGATTAGCTAACTGATGTTATTTTAGAGATTGTCATTAATCCGTAGCTACTAGACGAAAACTTTCCTTATTATCTCATAAGAGGTGTAGAATTTAAGAGACGTTTCGCAACAGCATCAAACATCGATAACAACGTTGATAATATTGATTAAAAAGTTAGTATTTTTTAAACATACTCATCAGATGGAATATACAAAGTTTTAGGTTTTAAAAACGTTTTTTCATTGCGTAATGAGAATAGTTTACGAAAAGTCTTACGATAATTTAGTTATTTACTCAAATTTTAGCGAAAACTGGCTCCACTTAGAATCATAGAATATATGGATAGTTGAGAATACTTTTTATAGGAGAAATATTCGTTTTAGTTAGGTAGTTTCCTTTTGCACAATAGGAAAATGCGTAGTTGGTAAAGTACAGCGTATGAAAGGTCGGAAGATCGAATCCAGGAGAAGAACACCTAAAAATTGTTCTATATGGATAGTTTTACCGTGTTTAAAAATGAGCTGAAAAACAGTTTTTGACTGCATAGAAACAATTTCGGGCTATCTTAGAATTGTAAAAATGTTTGAAGGCGTTAAAACTTGATTTCTTTAGAATCATTTCAAAAACTATTTTTCTACTTCATTTTGTGTGCTGTTTACGAATATCACATTTATTTTAACTCAGAAATATACTGTTATAGCAAAAATTAAGCCTTGATAATTCCAGCCTAGTTGAGTTTCATTTTTCGATACATTCCAGGGCCTCTGGGATTATGAAATGTAGTCTATTACGTAAAAAGTTTCCTATCTTATTTATGATTAAAAATTTTGAGGAAAACAACCAAAATGGAGAAAACTTAAAATACAAAAAACTGATTGTCATGAAAGTTGTTGTAAAACTTTTTTGTAAACTATTCTCACGACAAAATGAAAAAATGCTTTTAAAATCTAAAACTTTGGACTTCTATATAACTTTGTATGCTCCATCTGATGAGTATGTTTAAAAAATAATAATTTTTTAATCAATATTATCAACGATTTTATGAACGCTCGATGCTGTTGCGCAGCCAGAATAGAAGATCATTTACTACCGATGATTTTTTCTGATTCATTTCTTCGAACATTTTTTAGTTAAAAATGTACTTGAGGTGATTGTCAGAATAGAAGGTCAAGGTGGGCCATATCTTCAATGTGCTAAATCTTCTCTGTGTTTTAATGTTTAAAGATTCTAAAGATTGTATTTTTAGATTCTATGAATTTAAGACAGCAATGGTACGTCGAGATGTATTTCAATAACGTTTCCTAAATGTCTACGAATGACTTCAAATGTATGTGTATAAAACGTAACTGTTTGTTTTTTTATTTCATTTCTTCGACAATAAATAAAAACTTTTTTTTATTCTTGTTTAGGAAATAAAAAAGCAAAAAAGGTTTTTATATGTCAATATTTTCTCTCATTTGTCATGATGAAATGTTTTTTTTTTTGTTTGTTTATAGGAGTAAACCTAATAAGAACGTATGTTACGATAACATTTTTTCATATCTTTGCATTTGTTTGCGGCATACATTGTATACCTTGTGCTATTGTGGGAAACACAATCAAAACATATTGATATTCTATTTAAGACCTTCTAAACTTTGTGTTGTTAATACCTTATGTGATAGTGCAGGATTGCTGATTTAGATTTAATTTTTCATTAGATGATCCTTGATGTAAAAGTAACGGTCTATATGTCTACCGCTATTATATTTAAACGCACCATCCTTTTCTTTTTTTAACATTCCTTCTTTTTATTACATATTTGTAGTTTGTAGAGTTCTGCGGATCAGCAAAATAAATGGGCAAAATAAATTAGCGTTCGAGGCTAAAGTTTCTTTTTTACGAATTCGACTTCCGGGCTGGTCGAAACAAAAAAAGTTTTGTAATCATAAAAACCTTTTATTTTGTAATTTTAGTGAATTGGGTCATAGATCGATCGTGCTGCTCGCGTCCATTTAAGTTGCCTGTTGACTAAAAATTTTTAATCGTACAAACAACAAGACCTTGAACTTTAGATGTGCATGCACTGATGTCCGATACAATTTCTATTGTTCTGAACAAAATTTCAATGGGGAAGACGGAATTTAATTTTAAAAAAAGGAGAAAAAAATGAGGGGAAAAACTCGAAATATATTACATTTATGTGATTCTTATATACTTCACAGGGCGTCGTATAGTTTCACCGTAAGTTTTTCGGACTTGGGCCAGTTCAGATCATTAAGTTTTTAAAAAATTGGAGCCAAGTTAGACTGAACCATAAGGAGCCCTGAAACTTCAATCTTTTTAAACGCTCTTGGTTTTGGACATACCGACCTCTTGACAATTTTAGATTTAAATCTTCCATTTGTAAAAGTCTTCCATGAATTTCGAAAAGATGAGAAGCTAACGTTTATATTAAGGAATCATCCATAGGTTTTTAGTGATTTTTTACTCGCCATCTTTCTAGGCGAGTCCCCCACAATGGAATCAGCCAAATGCCACTAATTGAGATAACGAAGCTTTCAGAATGTAGAGTATGTGTTTCCTTATGTGGATTCTAGTGGCGTATCCAAGGGGGTGCATGGGGGTGCTGAACACCCTCACCGACTTTTTCCTGGTTACGCCACTAGTAGATTCTTAGATATTTTCCAGAAGATTTTCCAAACATCAAAACAGACGGTTTATAGAAGACCTTACAATTTTGCAAAATCACGGCGCGTTTTTCGCACAAACTACGTCATTATATGGTTGAAAGTACCCTGTTCAAAATGTGCACATCAGTCTGACATTTCCTAAAGTTATCACTCATTTATTGCATCTCTCAAAAACTCCTTCACTAAATGAATATATCTTTTTTAATTAGCAGTACAAGTTATTTCAAAAAAATCTTCCCTATATTGAATCGTCAGTGGATAACTTCTTTTTGTTCGAAAGAGAGAAAAAAACTGCGCTGAATGTTGGATTTAGTTTTTTTAAATTAGTCTTTATTCAACAATTTAGATTTTTCTTTTCGAAAAATCCTATAATTTTTAACTTTTAAACGCAATAAAACATAATCGAGGTGAGAATTATTAATCAACTTCCTACATTGAATGGGACTGACTGTTTACTTTAATCTAAAAATATAGAGACATTTTGAATTCGTCTTCTGAAAAACATTATTTGTGATACCCGAGAGATGTATGTTAAGAAATTTTAGTCCCACAAGTGCTGCTCTGAAACGACATATTCTATCTTAACGAAAAAATGTTTGCATAAAGAGAGCGAAAAATCATACTTTATTCTTAAGGTTTTTAAAAATAATGTGAAATTACTTCTTCATTCTAAAGTTAACCCCTATCTTATATGATTTTCGACGCTACAAACTACATTATATGCAATGAAAAAAGAAGAAAATCACCAGTATGTTTCATTTAAATATAGTAGCGATAGACATGGGGGCCTTTTGCATCATAGATTACTAAAAAAAGATTCAAAAATTGTACTATGGTTACTCACATGTATGTTTTAGGGAGAAAAAAAAACTTATTTCTCAAGATTCAAGAATATGTTTAAGCGTGGTGGTGATAGTGATCAAGAACCTACTCCAATGGAAATCGACCACTCTGATATTGATCGAGAATCTTCTCACAATGGAGATAATGATCAGTCGCAGTTATATCCAAATCTAACTGTCACACATATGTCAGAATATAACTCACAAAGGCAGCCTTATCAGGTAGTTCTAATAAATCTGCACAGTATCATTAGGTCTTGTTAGAGTTTCAATTGATCTTTTCTGATCCTCTGTATTTGTAGCATAATCGATATAGTGCGTGAAATATCACTGAAGTCTTCGTTGAAGATTCGTATATGTGTATGCATGCGTGTGTATATATTGCTCTCGTCATGGCTAACTTTTTCAAACTTTTCAAAGTTGTTTCTATTAGTAGTCTGTTACATCTCAAAAAAATTTCAGATATAAACGCTAAACGGTACGTCTCTGTAGACTGTATGTTTTTTGACAATGCCACCGAAGAATACTAAGACTAAGAATAATTCAGATAATAACACCAACAACAAGCGGAAAGAAACTAACAATCGATCATCATTAAATGTGGTTAAAACTTCTGCCAAACAAAAACCACCGAGCCCTGCTCGAGTAGACAATGAAAAGAAAATATCATTAAAAAATCCAAAATATGGTAGAAACGAATCTCATACGTCGTTGTCCGATAATAGAGATCATCATGAAGGAAAAACTGAGAGAAAAGTAAATGCAAAGATCATTAAATATTATTTATCTGTAGAAAAAGATATTTTTATTATTACGAATCTTCAGCGTAAGCCTAAAGTGAGAAGAAAGAAGGCTGTAAAAGACCGCATAATAGTCAAACTTTCTAGCATTGATCAAGTAGGTAGAACGAATATTTCTCTGATAGATGGAAGTTTAGCTGAATCGAAGGGAGTATAGAGTAGACAATGCTTTCTTTAGTCTTATGTTTTATCTTTATTTCGTTGATTCTAGCCTCAACAATCTCATACAAAAACTTCTATTGATCCTACAACTAATGGTAGAAATTATTCTCAAAAAGCAAGTTCCTCATAGGACAAAGTTCTAGTCTTGAATTATATTTCATGCCAATATTTATAGGACGAAGATGTTCATCAAAGATCGACGAGCTTAGTACCAATGGATACTGGTGGGGACCAAAGTGGGCATTCAATAAATGATCAACTATCTCCGGTAGAACAACAAAAAGAACAAACAATAAATGTTTGTCGAAAATTTAAAGTATGTTATGTTTTTGCCCTTTTTTGGCACTTATGAGTTGGTTCAAAATTTTTTCTTACCACAGCAACTACTAATAGAATTAAGCAGTCATTCCAAATTATCACAACAAAAAATTGAAGAAACGGTAATAAAAGCAAAAATTTTACTATCTCCTGCTGAATTTAGTGACACAAACAAATGGATACGAGCTGTAAAACGTACACTCAAAGATTTGAATTCCATTCCTGATGAATTATGTCTTATATCATTGGCTTATACAAATCATCCGGTGGATGCAGCCAGGTTTTGTCGTCAAGAAATGCTTGAAAAGAACTCAATATATAGTAAACTGTCTGAGAATAATAACAGTGACGATCCATTTCGTCAATCATTATCAAAATTTAGTGAAAATTTAAAACAGTTGAATTCTCAATTAGAAAAGGATTATTCTAAAGATAGTTTAGGATCAGAAAAACTGTGTAAAATTGTACGAGACATACCAGAAGAACAAGTTGAGGTAGAAAATTAACGGAGATGATTAAAACATTTACCTTTTTCTATTGAATTTGATATTTTTCTAGCGAGCCGATCGAATTTTCTTAAGTGAAATTTTACATTTTTATCTACATATAACAAATTATACGTATCAAAATGCACACGAGACTGTCGCTGTTATACGTTTATTGAGATGTGATTTAACTCATAATGAATTACTTCATGTCATCGAAAAGTGTAGAAATTTTGATGATTGTTACGTGACTATACAAAAAATATTAAAAAGAAAACAACTGCAGGTATTTTAATTATTACATAGGGCTGGTTGTTTGTTCCATTCTAAAATTTTTATATCTTTCCAAAACACTCATCGAAAACTAAAGTATTTCCAATATTTCCTATTACTTCTGTTTACTAGGACTCAGGACAAAATAAAGATTCAATGCCATTAAATTCTAATTCAAACAGCTCCGCTTCGCTGAGAATAACTTCCGGTGGTTTTAGTGGACGAATTCCTTCCGAATATTCAAACAATCTCCATCGATTTGATAATGGACAAATCGTTGAAGTGCAGTCTACTTCGAGTAACAGTATTCCAAGATTTTCAGATACATTAATGTCATGTAAATATTTATTTCTCTCTATTTTAGATGAAACTACTTCATATGTTTCAATTAAATCAGGTGACTTTTAACTTAATTAAAATTTGTACAACAAAATATTGTTTTTATACTTTCTCATTCTTAGGTCAAACTGACACGAAGCCCAAAGCTCGCATTTAATACAGAACTCAGTATACATAAATAAACTATCGTGATCAATTATCGAATAGTCAGGAGACTATTTGTATACTTTTATTATTATTGTCTAAGAGACGAAGTTTATGCGTATTTATTTTTTCATCATTTAAACGTGTATTTTCATTGTAATATATCCTTTTTTCTACGAATGAATCAAGAAAATCCTGCAGTAAAAAAGATTTGGATCAAAATACCATTATATTCATAGTGTCGTATTCATTAATCCAAAGATTTTATAATACATGAGTTACTCGTCTGGCACATTATTTTCTTGGTTCACACTTCAATATCTATTTATTTGATTCTATGTAAATATGGATAAATCTCATCAATATTGTTCATGAAAAATTGCAATAGAAGAATAGTCCATTATTACTTTACTGATCAATGTTCTAACTATGTGATGCACTAGTTCTAGAACGGGGTATTCGGAAAAACTGTTATAACTCAGCTGATAAAGGTTGCTCAGAGTTACAGAATATCTTACTTTCTAGAGAAATGTTCACATTATAAAACTTATTATTCAAAACAAATTCTTTATTATTGAAGAAGATCAAGTTAATATTATTGAAGATATGATCCATCCAAAACAGTGGAACTATTCGCCAATAGCATCTGTCTTGTACAATGGTCCTCTTATTATCAAAATTAATCTTTAAAATTTTAAATAATAAGTTTTGTCATATGAATATTTCTGTACAAAATGAGATGTTCTGCAACTCTAAGCGATTCTTAATAACTGACACTTGTTCTAAATATCCAGTTCTAGAACTAGTGCATACCTAGTTCTGACAATATCGATTGTACTATCATTGCATAGAAACTTCTGCTCCATTTCGTTATTAAAAAAAACAACAGTAAATTGATTTACATGATCCACAGGGCGGTACATACATATATGATCGTTATGCGGCAGTTATGAAAGTTCATGTTTATGGATGTTTCTATGCAGCTCTACCTTAGGCTTCCCGATCAGGAGGAGCTGGCTCCTCTCTAAAAACATTTTTGGATTTTCTGGCAAAATCTTTGCCGTTTTTCCACAAGCAACTTTCTGCCAAAACTTTTTTCTGCCAGCCACTTTCTGCGAAGCGGAACTTTTAGCTCCTCCCATCCCTAAGAACAATCGGAAATCCTGCTCTACCCAGTTTATACGGAAGTTTCAAGATTGTAAATTTTGCTGAACCAAGTACTGATAAATGTTCTTTTAGTCATGAAATTTGTTGGTAGAGCAGTTGGAAATAAGTATTTGTAAGTCGAATATAGAACTGCTATGAATAACATGACTTTCAATCTTGAAAATACTTTATTCGAGCTTTCGCCAGCTTTCAGTTGGCATCATCAGGAATGTAATAGACATTCGAACAAACGATGGTATAAAAAGAAGCGAATAGATAAGAAGGAGTATTCGCTTCTTTTTATACCATCGTTTGTTCGAATGTCTATTACATTCCTGATGATGCCAACTGAAAGCTGGCGAAAGCTCGAATAAAGTATTTTCAAGACTGAAAGTCATGTTATTCATAGCAGTTCTATATTCGATTTACAAAGTTCTTTTAGTCCTTTTTTTAAGAGCTTAAATATAACGTAAAAAACTGTTAACAAACTAACTGTCAATAATATTAACGTTTCTCGTGAGAAATGTGTTAAACTGTTGGGTATTCATCTCTTGCACAATTTAACATGTAAACATCATATTTTTATTGTAAGCGCACGATGTCAACTCAAGATTTTGTACTGATTTTTCAGGGTTTTTATTGTTTTTATATCTCTTATACGTGTATATTACCCGTTATCGACTATTATTTGTAAAAAAAATTAAATTGAACTAACTTAAATTTTGCGAAAAAAGTATTTTTGATTGACTTTTTTTCAAAAAATTATTAAAATTATTCTGTTTTTATTTTTCTGTTTCATTTACTTCAATCTTTAAATATCAGAAAATTGCTTAGAGAAAAGAAACGCTTTTCTTCTATGTACAAGTATTGAAGTGTTAAATATAAGTTTGTTTATAATATCCTAGTACAATTATGTATTAAATAAAAGATTGATTGATTGAAAGTCTTTTTTGCCATAATCTATACAATAGTCGTGTGAACAAGCCAAAAACGTAAATAAATTCATATATTTTTGTCTATTATAGAAACTCATAATCACATCTGACTTCTTTTGTCATTCATATAAAAAATCTAGAAATACTAGAGAGAAAAAAAACAACAACTATTCACGGTGCTGTTTTAAAATATAATCTGTTGGAAAATCGAGAAAAAAAATGAAAGCAATCTGAATAAAAACACAACAAATCAATATCCATAAACGGTATATTGAATAGTTACAATATAATTGACTAAGAAAACACCACAGTACTAATAATATATGTGAATATGAATGAAAGAATTTTTTTACTCGAAATAATAGATGAAAATGAATATGATTTTGTAGAAAAAATCGCAATAAAAATGTGATTAAACAGATGCATGCCGGCATCAGAGATGGATCTGGCATTAAGAGAAATAATGGTTTTACACCTTGAATAAATATACTTCGTATGTGCACGATAAAACCAGATAAATTAAGACTAACTAATAATAGATGAAATAAGAATAATGTTGTTAAAATTTCACGTAATGGTCTATTGATATAACCACAATATAAACAATGAAAAAATGCGATGTAACATAGTGCAATTTGACCACATGAACCACTAATTAACAGTGTACAAGAGATAAGAATAAAAAACCATAATATTTTAACATATTTTGCTGAATTTTGATATCGTTGTAATTCATTGTAGGTCATTTGAAATAAATTTTGACAAAAATATCGTATTAAATCAAAACATAATCGATCAAATAAGTAAGATACTATAGCAAGTATTGTTAATGCTAATAAATAAAATACAAATGGTAATAGAAAAAAATAGTAACCAGTAGCATATAAATGAATAATTAAATCACTTGATCGAAGAGGATATAGAACAATAACAAGTTTATCAAATATTGTTAATGCTCCGGCAATTGGTAAATGTATTGACCATAAAAACATTGTCTCGTATGTTTTCATTGTAGGAAAATGAATTTGAATTGCCAATGATATACACAAAACAGAAAATAAAAAACTGGGCAATAAAAATATATAATAGCGTATAAATTGAGATAATATATCGAGATAAGAATAGGTTATCGTTAATGTATATGCACATTGAACATTTAAAAATAATTCTAATGATGGATAATCGTCATTCTTAGAAAAATTTAAACGTGGTCGATGAAGTTTTAAAAGCATATTTCGTGTTAATGGTACAGATAACAATGAAGAAGATGATGATGACGCTGATGACGAACGAGTTGCTGATGGATCTCTAAGTGTTACTAAATTGTAAACATCTTCATTTGACCATGGTACATGAAAATGGATTAATGGTCTTTGTTTTGTTGTAGGACAATTTGACGATTCTAATTGAACACCATAAACTTGCCATAAATAGGTTAAATTTGGAATATATAGTTTTACATAACCAGTAGAATTGAAATGATACGTCGTTGAACCATACCTTTTTTTTTAATAAAAAAATAAATTCAAAGAAAAAACTGTCTTTCTTTAGAATTCAAAGACATTATGCCTAATAGGTGTTTAATAAAAGTTTTTTAAGGTAGTGTAAACATTATTCTTAACTTACGAATGAAATTGAATATGACGTTCATCATCATTATTATTTTTCACTTGAAATATTTGTGTCGTAGCATGATCGGTCATACGTAAAAGAATATAATCATACTTTTTGCTAACATCTGTTATATTGATTTTCATCATTTTTATATTACTATATAATGGTGGAATGGGTAATAACCATTCTGTAATGTCTGTTATTGACCATTTGTTATCATTGTTTTCCAGTGGTTCATTTGTCAAATAAATCCAATGTGATCGTACCACATTTGATATAATATATATTTTATAAAAGTTTGAATTTTTTAATGGTATCAAATAGTCTTTTTTACCATGTTTGACTTCTGTCACTGATTTATCTAACGTAATTGGATTATCCAACGAAATATGTCCAGTTGGTATAAGTAAATCAGCATTTATATCCGATAATGTAGGTGAAAAATGTTGTTTGAAAATCTACAGTACAACACATACAAACACAATCTTAGTTTGAAAAACAAAAGAGTTATAAACGGTCTTACACTCATAATGTCCATTGTGCTTTTATCTAAAATATTTGTACCGACTTTTATTAATTCAAATAAAGCTCTCGTTGTTGTTAACACTAATTGTCTACACCATACAATACAACGATGATCTGTTGATGTCCATACTTGTGGAATAGCTGTTGTTAAAACATCGATTGAACGTGTTTCATCTGTTAAACCATGAAGTGAACATAAATCACTACGTACGAGATGATCTCTATTAAGTAAGACTACTAGGAGTAAAACGTTTCTGAATATTGATCAAGATAATCAAGCTTACCGATCTCCTCCAGCCAGTGAAAGAAGTACAACATGTTTTAATGTATTATTCCATTCTCTCTTCCAATAGTTATTGACATTTTGATAAAATTGAACTAAATAGCTATCATAATTGATCACAGGTGCTTGATGAGGTGTTGCTTGTGTGATAATTATTTGTACTGTACTAGGATCAAATATATTCGCTGATTCGACAAATATTGCTCGTGCTAATAATCCACCAATTGAGTTACCAACTAGTATCACATGTGTTGGTTTCACTTGTGACTTTTGTTTTTGATAAAGTTTTAAAATTGTTTGAATCGAATATATAACAAATTCTGTTTGCTGTTTTAAAACTCCACCAAATAATGCTGATAATTCTTCATTAAAATCAATTGAAAAATAATCGAGTTGTTTATTATAATTTTGACCCATACGATAAGCGACTGATGCTAATGAACGTACTTGACGATAGGAATCAGCATTACCAACAATAAATAAAACGGGCATACCGTTAAATGTTTGTTTGCGATAAATATCACAGCCAATACCTTCACAATAAAAATATAAATGATATCTTGGATATTTTAGTTGAATTGAATTTGAAACTGGAATTGGGCGATAATCAGGATATTCATACATGTAGGTCATTTCGCAGTAATTTACTTCGACACGATAGAAATAACTATGTAAACCAATTAGAAAACAGGTAATTACAGCAAAATAAAGAAAAAATTGAAGTAGTTTAAGGAGTTTAATTGGCATTATATATTTGTCTACAACAGATGGATATCGTTTATATGAGAACTGGAATTATGTTGTTGTCTGGAATTGTATATTGAGGTTAAAGTTTACTTGCTAGCTAGTGACTGAATATAATAACTAAAGAAATAACAAGCTAATGTTCATTATTTGTTTAAACAAGAACGATACATGCATATAATAGTTTGACCTGATATAACACACGCAGAATTCAGAACAAAGAATTACCCCAAAACAAGAACTACACATAAGTTAGTCTGATATATTTCGTAATTGTTCCACACAACATCTTGACTACTCTAGAAGTGACAAAGCTTCATTTTAACAGAAAAACTGAGAAACCGTTAACACAGAAGGAATATGAACATATTTAATATAATGGCAGCGTAAAGAAAAATAGTGAAGGTGAACCATGATCCTTTCCAGGTTGACTAAACTCTGGGAAAAGTTTGTAAACAAAAATAAGAAGAGTTCTTCGCACTCTATGTCTTTATTTTCGTAATTTTTGCACATTCGCCTATTTTTAATCAATAAGAACTGTATCGGACGGACTATTAAAACAAACGTCGAAAACGAAATAGTACCTCTATGCACAAAATTTGTTTTTTATTCAAATTTGATGAAAATAATAATGCGCTTATTCAACATTCAAATAAGATCGACTGTTCCCATAAAAACTGTTTAGAATGGTTTACTGTAACTTTTATTATTTTTAAATAAATCGCCTTTTCAGACTCTCGTCTAAATTCTTTAGTTTCTTAGCCCCAATAATATTTTGGACAAATTCTAAATACACCATGTGATACTACTCTATTTCACTACTCTATACTTCCTTTTCAGATAAACAATACTAATACTTGAATCATTTTGTAAGGTGAAGAATTTCAATATAGATAATAAGAGATACACCACCTTTTTCATCATGAAAATCGACTATTTTCTGTTTGAGACGTTTCGTCTTTATTCAAAAGACATCCTCAGTCA